GCTCAGAGCCGGCTGCTCCTTGGCCACGGCATCCTTGGCCAGACTTGGCCATCACTACCAGAAATGGCCTGGGGCCCCCGGTGCAGGAAAGGTGCCTGGTTCCTCTGGGCAGCCGGCAGGCCTCCAGGCTTCCTACCACGAAGGCCCCCACGGGCCCCTGCCAGCTCCGGCCTGGGCCCTGGCACCCATGCTGCTCACAGGCCAGCCTGTCCTGAGCCTCACCACGACAGAGGGCAGCAGAGAGAGAAGAAGCAGAGCCACAACCGCACCACCGTGCTGTGGTGCCGTGTGGTGTGTGCAGTGGCCACCAGGCTGTGCCGGCCTCGCCGCAGAATACGCCCTCAACCCTGGCCACGCAAAGAAGTCAACAAGAGCGAGTGGGCACAGAAGACCGCATCCACCGACCTACCGCCACTCCCCAAGACGCACGGCCAGCGGGAGGAGGCAGGGAGGCGCAGGAAAGGGACGGGAGGAGAAAAGACGGCGCACGGCCGCAGATCTGCGCGGACTTTGCTCCTGGGGCTGTGTGCTGCGGGTGCCTGCCCTCACCAGACGTGCACCCTCCACTCCAGGGATGCTGGCCAGGCCTGCTCTCGGAAGTGCCTGCGCCTGGCCCAGGCCTGGGGTGTGTGGGCCAGTCCTCCAGCACGTCCTCTTGGGGCTGTCACACGAGCAGCGACCCCTCCCTCCCGTGAGGTGGCCTCTGGGGAGCGGTGGGGAGGGTCCCAGAAGTGAGTGCAGCCCACGCATCGCTGCACGTGCTCTGAAGGCCCTCTCTGCAGGGCCGCACAGTCCAGCTGCGTGCACACGGCCCTTAGAGCCTCGAGGAGAGTCCCTGGCCGCCTGTACCGCGCGGCCTGCTGGAGCAGTGTGTAGACACGTTCAGGCTGGGGCCAGCCAGCGCCGGAGCCAAAACCCCCGCTCAGCCCTGCCCTGGACCAGACGACTCACGCACACGCACACGCACACGCACGCAGAGCTGGCAGTACTCACCCGGACCAGCCAGCCTGAGCTAGAGAGGGCGAGGCCTGAGCCCCGGCCGGCACACTCTGGCACCACTCACCGAGGAGGCGCTGCTACAAGACCTGGTGCGGCGCTTGTGGCAGTGGTGGGCGTGCCTGCGGGTCCGGTAGGGCTCTCTCTCCCGCGACCGCCGCCGATGCCGAGACCGGGAGGGTCCATAGCAGTCCTCTGTGAATGGGGGGCTCCGCTCCTCGCAGCGGTAGGTGTCGCTGTCCCGGCGCTCCCGGTACCTCCGCTGGTAGGGCAGGCGGTCATGGCTGCCGGGGGCGGGGACAGGGTCAGGTGGTGCCCTTGCTCCCACCACCTGGGCCCCTGCTCCGGGTCTGGTGGGAGCCTGTTGGGGCAGAAGCACATTTCCCCTGGGCCGGGGAAGTGGGCAGGGCGGGAAGGTGCAGGGGCCCCCTGGCTGACCACTGTCCTGGCACAGTAGCAGGGTGCTGGGACAGAGTGTGGGGCCTCCAAGGGCCCCCGTGCTGGGGCTGTCACTTTGGTGGGGGTGAGAAGGGACCAGGGACAATCTTTCCAGAGTGAGGTGACCCTCCCAGTCCCCACCGAAGGGGGCTCAGGTCAGCAGAGGAGCAGCCAGCCTCAAAGCTGGGGGCTGTGTAGGGACGAGAGCGGAAGGAAAGGCAAGGACGGGGCCCGGCTGGAGCTGGGGACGCAGGATGTTAGGGGAGGAGCCTGCGGGGACAGGGTGAGGCTGGGGCAGCTGGGCAGAGGCCGAGGCACCGCACAGAGCCTGGGACCACCTCGCCTCTGCCAGCGTCCTAGCCAGGCAGAGAGCGAGCCCTCCGACCCAGGCCGGCCCTCACCTTCTGGACCGAGATCTCCGTGGCGGAGGCTCCCTTCGGGATGGGTAGCGCAGGCGGCCGCCATGCTCCCGGCTGTAGGAGCGCCGCCTCTTCCATCGGTAGCTCAGGTATGGGTCCGGCTCCGGGGAGCGGTATCGCTTACAGTGATGCATCTGGGCCGGAGAGACCGAGAGCCCTGCTAGACACCACGCTGGCGCCCAGGGCAGGCCGCGGGCACCTGAGAGGAGGCCCACTGTTCTGTCTGGGGTGGCCCCTCCCGGGGGTTTATGAAGTGAAGAAGAACTCTGAGGTCACACTGGCCAGACAATGGGCAAGGCCCCCGCGGCCCCCTTGCCAGCACTGGTGCAGGGCACGCTTGGGGGACGGGGTGCCCAAGGCCTAGGTGCTACGGCAGGAAAAGGGAGAACCAGGACGGGGCAAAGGGGCCGGTGCTCGGCTCCCTCTGCAGGTCCCAGGAGCAAATGCTTTGTGAGGTAGAGAGCTGGCTATTGGCACAGAGTCAACACACAGGCCAGGGTGGGGCCAAGGGTCAAGGTCCTCAAGTTTGGGAAGCTGACAGGCAGTTGAGGCCCCAGGCTGGATCCCACTCAGGCACAGAAGGTCTGCAGTCAGTGCGAGGAGCCACAGCAGATATGGGGAGACTGCCCCTGCAGGTCTACCAGAGTGGATGTGGGCCCGGGATGTGCTCAGTCCTTGCTGGCCTGTGCTCAACCTGGCACCAGTGAGGACGCCAGGTCCTCAGAGCATCCGAGCGGCTCACTGTGCCATTCGGCCCTCTCCAGCCACCTGCAGTGCCCTGCCAGGCACCCCATCCTCATCCACCAGGACCATGACTCCCCTCTTCCAGTTCCCACCCGTGTCCACCTCAGGAACAGCCCGAGGAAGGTTAGTTGGCAGGCTCGTCTACACAGGCAGCCAGGCCAAAAGGGCCCTACTTCACTGTCCCCATTCAGTGGGGACTTCCAGCCACCACGGGAAACTGCCAGGCTAGCTTGGCCAGCTCCCAGTTCCACCCTACCCAAACCTCAGGCTCTGCCTCCATGGGCGACTGGGCAGAGCCCAGGGCCAGCCTTCCCCCCACCCCCACCGTCCCACAGCTGCAGCCCTCGGTCATGGCTTTGCTGACCACCCCCCACTTCACCAACCCC